ATCATTTACATGCGCAACCAGTTCCCTTAAATGGACAACCAATGCATGACGGCGGAATGTCAAGGATAGCCAACGGAATGTTACGCATGTGTTGTGCTCACCGACGTACGCTACAGTTTCTGCCCTTTTGGTAGTACTCTGGCCTGAAATTACTGCTTATATATAATCTCCGTTAGCCCATCCACCCTGACATATCCGAGCACCCAGAGCGACCTTGCTTGTCATCGTATCTCTCTATAAATCCATTCAATGTGAACCTGATGCTATTGTTCCATTTCACTTATGGGGTTTGAAATATTTTCGTCTGTTGTCATGATATCGGGAAGCTTTGGTTTTGTCAAGCTCGCTTGGATGCCTCTCTCGCCGACGGGTCCGCCACCGATGACGCTTCCATCTCTGGAGCGATACTATACCTCCATAGTTATAAGTGAAAGTGACAGAGAATCGTCCGCCCCTGGCTACTGTCCTGAGTCTGCTCAGGCTTTTCAAACTTCTCCTCCACCCAGTGGTCTTCTGAGAGTACCCGGAACCAAACATGTGAGTACGGGAATAGAAACTTGCGTTGCGCTACCACGGGCTCAAAGCCGCGAGGCACGAAGCAGCTGAAGACTCGTTCGAAATATTCCTTCCACATTCCGGATACGCTCTCAACTGTCGAATATATCCCCGTGGAAGTCATACGGCAGTCAAAACGGTGCGCCTCCAGGCGGTAGACTGCGAAAGAAAAGCTAGAAGGAAAGAAGGATTACGTGGTACTAAGAACGCAGTCACAATCACGCGGCTCTCCTCCACATCAGGGGTCACGGCCGGAGTGACGTGTCGAATATGAGGATCCGTGACGTGGCGCTCGCTGACGAAGAGGAGGCATTGTCCAAAGTCATTTCTCTCATCGCTGATCTGGACTGAAAATAAACTTACGAGTCGTCAATGCTTTTTAGGAGGCCCCACAGGAAGTCTGCGGAGGCAGGAGAAAACTGGAAGTTCTTCAAGGCTTCCGTGTTAGTCCAATCCGTTCAATGTCACGATACAATCAGTAGATGATAGATGCCATGTATTTCCTACACAGATGGAAATCGCTTACAATGCAAACAGCCTCTTCAGCCTTGTTGACCATCCTTCCCATCGACGCCATCAAGCAACCTTCCACACTGTTGAGTGGGTCATAACAGCCACCGGCGTGGTCTGCGGACCACATCGGCCACTCTGGCTCCCGCGGCAGGCGAAACCGCTTTGGCTTGTCTTAGCCATCGTGCAAGGACATTGGAGAAGCAAGTATGGCGAACCCTAGGCCAACGATGGCTTCGACTAGTGTACATGTCTGGAGGGCAGGTGTCTGTGGTCCAGGAGATGGCTGGCTGGTTACATTCACACCGGAGAGTGGGGCATGCAGGACCGTTGGCTAGCGGTGTTCCATGTGGCATTGTAGCCATTCCCCCGGGACGAACGCCAGCGTTCTGGAGAGGTAGACCATCTGCGTAGTACCTTTTCATCGTCCGCGAAAGTATCAAAGTCAGCCACTGACGGACTAGAGGTATTTTGGACCAGGTTACACCAGCGCTGCCCGATGCGAATGTACCTCAGACAGGTTCTCGGGGCGTCAAAGTTGTTTAAATTTGTTCTCAACCGGCGGCATCTCTCCAGGAAAAAGCACCTTTTTGTCTCAATTTGGAATGGCGAAAGGACTTGCCGTTGAATCGATACTTGACGCTGGCCCCGACAAAGTTTTGCTCATTTACCCTTCTAGCCTTCTAGAATGTACCCGGAGGGCAGCCCCGCAGTGCGGCCTTGGGTGGAGCCCACGCAAGACCCTGGCGATCCTGCGAGAACAACCTTGCCTCTTTTGGGCAAGGGATCTGATGATACATATACTGGCTTTGGGCTAAGGTCAACTTTACTCAATGACTGCATTGCACTGCGTAAGTCGTCTTTGTAAAATCATAGGAGGTTTGATTACGGCCATGACACATGTGAACCAAGGCGAATACGATGAAGAACGTTATCAAATGTCTCTGCATAACCTATTCTTCAAAGAAAAACCAGCGATTTGATCACGATAGGAGGCCTTCGGCATGGGGATGCTTCAAGGCCATTTCGAAGTGAGACTGGTGCGTACAAGACATCCAGGACGTCTTGTTTTCTGGCTAACAATGTTACTTCCTCCATCGAAAGCTGTCAAAACGCGTACTTCTTAGATCCCGTCGTACATTTTGACGATGCATGGACCCACGCCCCTGAGATCTCCAGCCGAGTTTCTGGAATCGGTTCAGCCTCTCATTCTCAGATGCCGAATACATGTTGGCCTCGTGTGCTACCACTGATACTATTGATACAACAGAACCCGACCCAATCATTTGGATTAGAGTAATCAGAGCGTTGTTCAGGACCTCTTGACGAGGGCCTGGCGCGATGTTCTTCAAGATGCCTTCGATCTCGCTCCTTTGTTGTATCATCTGCGCTTGGCAAAACTCTGAACCCGGGGCAACAGGTTGTTGGCGAAAAACTGGTATTTTTGGGTCGTTCTGCTTCACTTCGGCCGCGGGAACTGCTTGGGTCGGGGTTTCACTCGGCCTTTCCTCGACTCTTGGAGACTTTCCTTGCGTCTCGTCTCCAGAGTCGTCCAGCCGTGTGCGCTTCCGAGATTCGGGCAGAGGACTTCGGTCTGTTGAAAATATGGAACATTAGCTGGCGGGGAATCTGAAAGCTCGGGTCGGGACAGGATGTTTGAATGATAATCTTCTGGGACAGCGAAGTTCAAGTCACGGACCTTCTGAAATTCTGGGAGACTGAATGCCGGGCGCCATTGTGCGTTTCTGCACTCAAAAGCGGAGGTGATATAGTCGATGTACAAGACGCTACGTGCTGAGGTCTTCTGAGGGCTCTCTATCAGTCCGGCTCGAAGCAAAGTTGATGTCGGAACAGATATGATAATTCACAAGGTTGGAGCACTGGTTTAAATACAAGGCCATTCCACCTTTTGGAAGAGAGAAAGCTTAAGCACACAAATCCTTTTTTTTCGAGCCACATTGTTACTGCCGTCGAGAACCTGGAGAGCTATCCATAATCGATTGGTGGACCTCCCGCCGAATCCTAAAGGGTGGCCAATTTCCCTAAACAGTCGGCTGACACTGTAGATGTAAGTAGACAAGATATAACGAATGGTGTCACACTGAGTTCACTGGTGATGAAGCGGCAGTTTTGCAGGATCAGGTGGGCCTAAACGCTGTCCCTCGGCTGCCTCTGACCGCCCTAATCCTTCGAGACTGGGCGGTTCCAAGGCTTAAATAAGTACAGAATGAGCAGACCGTGTGTTCCTTTTTTTATTTCATGTCATTGACCGTGAGCTCCAACCCAGGGGCGAGGGCTAGCGCCACGCGCTCCATGAAGATGAGTAATCATAAGTGTCAGCGGCCCCCCAGCCAATGAGGTGTTCTTAAACGGGGACAAATCCTTTGAATGTGGTGAATCAATACAGGAGACCATTTTCCGTCGAATACTTGTAATCGCGATAGTCCATCGTTCATCACAAGCGGACCATATGCCAGACGTGGTGCTTATGCCGTCGCCATACACCCCTCGGCTATCATTTTGATTAATTAACACGCATAAACACCCTCTGTCACTCAACATACTGAGAAGCATGATCCTAACACAGTATCTTTTCGTGTAATATCATAAACTCATGTAAAAATCAATATGACAGAAGTCACATGTCTCTACTGTACACTATTCCAGTCATTGTCATCAGACGAGCGATAGGTGCACTGTTTTGAACCCTGGCACCTGCTGAATTCAAACAGTCGCAACGAGCACTGAGGAAGCCTTCGGTGTCACATCCTCGAAATGTTAGTTATGGCGGTGTAAGAAAGATAAACGTACAGTTAAATATCGTCCTATGGATCACTTCAGCTTTGCTTGAAAAGACTCGCTAGCTAGCTATTTACATTTCCTTGCTTTTATAACTTCATTTTGAGTTAGGTCTTGGCATCATAGCGGGTATTTATGAAGTATTACTTCTAAGAAGAATCTTTAAGCATTGGTTGCTCGAGGACGATGTTCTGTTTATGAGCAAATCAACACTGCGGTGTGCCAGCGCCAAGCGGACCAGAGGGCTAAGCCTCTCTCAGCTCGTAAAGTCAGTCGTCCTGCTGATATAACAACCTTTATAGAACAGCATCTTGTCCGTGCGTCGCCGCGCCATCATGACACGTCGTAGAGGTTTGATTCACGCACTACTATGTGTACCTCTAGAGAGAAAAGTCTCCAAAGACCCTCAGGAGATTATGAAGCTTCTACAAAGTTCCATCATTGGACGCTGGAAGGAGCAGCTCTTCAGATTTCAGGCTGGTGCATCATGAGATGCAACAAAACAGTGAGTAGAAGCCTGGGCGCGAATAGTCGATGTTTGGTGTGGGGATGGAAAAGCATTTAATTATTGCCGTAGGTGCGGGCGCAGACGCATGCTTGCATGCACTGGTCGAAGTAGCCACAACAGCGATGCCTCACAAGTGTGCCACCATAATGTACGAAAATTGATGAAATAGATAACATGTGACTGCGTTGAAAAACAGCAGAAGAAGTCGTCAACGAACGGTTGTTTTGCTTCCCTTATATACCTCAAGGCAAGCATTAGGCCTGTGTGCTGACTGCTGTCGATTCAAGACGTTGATGTATTCATGCTCGGAGAAAGGGAACTTATGCATATCATCATTTGTGCACGGACAAACAATGCACACTATCTACCCAACTATTAATTGTTCAGCAGTCATTTTTAGCCTAGATACCAAGTGACACAGCGAACACGAACAACCTAAGATTCCCATTATCAAGCAGACTAAAGTGCCACATAAACCGATTTCAGTTCCGTCCAGTAGTCGGTAGCATATTTGGAACCCTCTTTGCCTTCGCCACTCTCCTTCCCACCCCCAAACGGCATGTCGGCCGTCATGGTCGGGCTTGTGCAGTTGATGCCGACGTTTCCGGCCTCGAACCTCTTCGCAATTCTAAGCGCGCGTGAAATATCCTTGGTGTATACTGAGGCGTAGAGGCCGTAAGGTACTCGTATCGTTGGCTGTCCCCAGCACCGCCTCTTCATCATCAAGAGAATTGATGCACATCACCGGGCCAAATATCTCCTCCTTCATCACCCTGGAGTCGGCTGGTGCGTTTTTAATGATCGTCGGCTGAACAAAGTATCCACGGTCTCCGACTCGCCCTCCTCCCGTGACGAACTCCAAGCCCGTAGTTCTCGCCTCTTCCAAGAACCCCATGACTCTGTCGAACTGTAACTTATCTGCCTGAGGGCCGCGCTGGATGCCACGGCCTAACGGGTCCCCAGCTGCGCCGACCCGATCCATCTCGATCTTGAGAGCATCTATGAATTTGTCGGCAATGGCAGCGTGGACAAAGACTCGCGAGCTTGCAACACAAGCCTGGCCTGAGTTCACAAGGATTGAGAAGGCTGCAGCAGGGACGGCCTTTTCAAGATCAGCGTCTTCAAATATGATTAGTGGGCTCTTGCCACCAAGCTCTAAGGTGACCTTCTTCAAGTTCGACTCAGCGGCAGCCTTCTTGATGGCGCGACCGGTGGATGTAGATCCCGTGAAGGAAACCTTCCGGATGTCCATGCGTCGCGCAATAGCCTCTCCGCAAGGCCGTCCAAAGCCAATGAGAATATTCAAAACGCCTTTCGGCAACCCGATTTCTTGGCAGCATTTGGCTAAGACCAGGGGGCTCAGAGGGGCCTTCTCAGATGATTTGAGGACCAGCGTATTGCCGGCGAGGACCGAGCTTTTGAACAACCATGGTAATTGGGGCGTTCCATGGAGTAATCGCACCACATACGCCGAATGGTTGCCGCAAAACAATGTTCAGCATGCCGGGTGTGTTCAGAGAGCTGTCTCCTTGAATGTCCGAAGCCTTTCCAGCGTAATATCGTAGTTGACTCATCGCAACCGCTGTCGCAACTGTTCTCATGCATTAACTCCAAGTCCTTGAGTGGTTATGGGATCTTGACCAACCATCAGAATCCACTGGCTTTCCCATGCTGATAGCGTCGAGGTAGGACATTTCTGCAAAGTGCTTCTCCATGAAATCTGCCAGCTTGAACAGAAATGCTCCTCGCTCGGTGGCTGCAAGGTCAGACCATGCAGGAAACGCTGCTTTGGCAGCCGCTACAGCTTAATTGACATCTTCGACGTCCGCCTCGAAAACAGATGCTGTCTTCTACTCAGTAGCAGGGTTGAAGACGTCAAATGTCTTCCCACTGCGAGAGGGGACGAACTTCCCGTTGATGAACAGACGGGTCTCGATTGGCATCTCTTTGAGTGCCTCAACCGCGTCAGAGATGACAGGTAGCTTTGGGAGTGACATTGTCGGAGAATGTCGTAACAGTGATGTCGTAGTAACCAACTAAACTCTCAATTGAGTTGAAGAGCTTGGGAAGACTTCTTGTGTTAAATAACTGAATACTCTGTCAGCCTTCAAACGATTAGGCAATTGTTTTCTACGGTGATTGTGCTCAATATTGTGCCAGCATTGATAAACTTCATCAGAAACTGGGCAACCTTTGTCTGCTTGGCTCTCGCAAAAGACGTTTGCTATCTCCGAAGTCCGTCTCGGCATACATGAAGCGTTCCACTGAGTTATCGCCAAGTCTTGGCCAGGGTGGAATAATCCTACCGTGATTGACGTGCGTTGCCGATGACTCCTTACCTAACGTCACGGGCCACATCAAGCAGTGATTTCGCATCACGGAAAAGCCATATGGCATGGTAGTCGTACGATTCTTCTAGACCCGTTGTTGTTTTTGTTGTAAGTATATTGAACACAGTGATTTGGTAATCGGCAGCATCCAATGTGCATCAAACAGGTTCTAAACATTGGAAAATAATCACGAAGTCTTCGGAATAAAGAGAAAGTTAAGCTTTGCTGTAGCGCATACTTCATCGTTCAATTTAGATTTAAGGTCATCACAGAAAAACACTGCATTCAATCTGACCTGCTGGTATTGATTGCATTCTACCCTTTTTGAGTATCCGTACCCTGTTTTGAACCCGTTGAAGTTCTGCAACCAACTCCTTGTGTGGCGCTAAGGCAGGTGGCCGTTAATTCGTTGTTGATCCTATCGTATACAGAAAGTTGTCTTGTCGATCACCAAGTCAGAACGTGCGGGGTCCGCCTTGTTGCCGGTTCACGGTGCGGGCCTTGCCCGAATGCCTAACGCCGAGATGCGGAGACGAACGCTGCGGTTTCCAACCATGTTGTATTCGCTCATGGGACCAATAGCAATATTGGGTCATGAAGCCAGCGCCTGTCAGCATTTCGCAACCCTCGTCCCGGGTGACCGAACCGACCGAGGTCCTTGACCATTATGTACTGTAGTAAGGAGAAATTTCATCCAGTAAGTTAGGTTCGAATCTGATCGGCGTCACCAAAAAGACCATTACGCCAATGGCCCCAAAACGGGACGCCGATAGGATTCGAATTCAACTGACAGTATGAAGTTTCTCTTTGCTATTCCGTCTGCTAAATCAGCCCCACCTGCAAGCCCCACCTTGCGCTTGTGCCTGCTGTAACCGAGCGAGGCAATCTGGCTTTAGAAAGATTTTCCCCACTCCTAGATGAACGACATGAGGACTCTGAAACAATCTTCACATTAACTACGGCGAAATGCCGAAATAGCTGGAAGTATTAGAGAATACTCAACACGTACGAACAAGTGTGTGTCCGCATGACGAAGATGACCACTAGGGAGCACTTGTAAACATTTAGCATGTCCATAGACGATTTCACGTCGAGATTTAAGGTACAAACAGTAGGTGCTACGTATAAAGTCTTCGTATTGTCACAGCGGCACAGTAGGCAGTCACTGCAAGTAGCTCAATACCTCAATATACCCCTGCAGTTTGCGCAACCAAGCAGGGTTTCTTATTCAATCGGTAGCCTGATAATATTTGTAGTGGGAACAGATGCGTCAGGGCTGCAATCGAGACACGGATTCTCCAAGCAACCTGGAATCAGATCGTCTTCTGATGGAATAACCAATGGCTCAGAAAAGTCCCAGTCCATCGGAAAAGCCGCCAACCGTAGTGCTTGGATGTCTACACTCCGCATTTCCCAACATGCGAGGTTTGAAGAAGAGGCACCGGGTGCGGGGTATCAGGCCTGATCTATGCCTCCCCACGAAACCACCGACCTTGTATCCATGCTCTTAGTTAAGTATTGCATCATTTTGGCAGCCTGAGCTGCCACCTGTGCGAGCAAGCCGCGGCTGCAGTTAACCGAGCTTCACTGGTTATATTTTGCCGAATGGCACAACGCATGCTTTCAAACATTTAATCTACGGTTACGCCAGCTGCTTGCATCATTCACTGCATCTGGTGGGATGATACGTTCAAGCCACATTGTTTATGAGAACGAGAAAAACTCATCTGCAAAAGATCAGCTGATTATTCATTTCATGGTAGTGAGTCAGTCGTCAGCATTCGACATGTCCAATCTCGAGATCAACAGCAAAGATTTTATCAAGCTCAAGGGCAAAGTAATATTGATCACAGGTATTGTGAACTTTTTGAAGCCGCTTCCCAGTTTGCGTTTGCGTTGGTTAGTCTGCTTCTGGCTTAAACACAACACATAAACTCCTTATCCTCGGTTTTGACGTAGGATCCTTTGCAGTCACATCACATCAATAGCCGAGTAATTATTATGTATGTCGACAAAATACTGACTGTTTTCGGCAGGAGGCTCCTCCGGCATCGGCCTAGGGGTCGTCAAGCTTCTGCTATCCATCGGTGCTCGTGTGACAAGTGTCGATCTCACTGCCCCAAGGGCCTCTGAAGATTTAACTTCTCAATCGCCTACATTCACGTTCGAAAAATGCAATGTCTGTGACTGGAAAGCCCTTCGAAGTGTGTTTTCACGAGTAGTGGAGCGGGAAGGGCGGCTTGATGCAGTTTTTGCAAATGCCGGTAATAATCCAAACATGTCCCGGGCAGTCGTTGGTTCGCGGCTAATGATGAGGCTGCTAATCTTGGAGCTTGCAGGCGTAAATCCTCGGACGCGATTCATAGATGATGAGATCGATCCTACTGACGGCCAATTGAAAGAACCGGATTTGTCATGTCTTGAGACGAATCTGTATGGCGTAATCTCTACGGTTAAGCTGGCCGTGCATCACATGCGGGCTCGTGAGATTCAGGGCAGCATTGTCATCACAGCATCTGTGTCATCTTGGACGAGATTCGGAGCAGTGGATTACAGTAGGTTGAAACCATTCTCCATGCTTTCTTTGAAAGTTTTGCCCCTCTCCGTATGATTATCTCCAGGACGAGAGCATTTGCCGAGACGAACCAGCTCTGCTCAAGCTTTTCAATGATTTGACACAGTTCTAACCGCATAATTTAGCGACATCGAAGCACGCTGTGTTAGGCTTTATGCGAGGATTGCTTCCGCATACCTCCAGGTTGCCCGTCCCCATTAGGATCAACTGCATTGCTCCAAACTGGACAAAGTCCGGTCTGGTCACTGAAGAAATGGTTGCTCCCACAGGCTTTGGCCTGAGCACTCCTGAAGAGGTCGCGCGTTCAGTTGGGCTTCTGATGACAGACAAAGCCGGAAACGGGGAAGCCATCTTCGTCGATGGCGGAAGGTATTGGGAGATCGGGAAAACACTTGAGGGGGATGGAGTTGGGAGATTTGTTGGCCCGACAATGCCGCCCGGGACTTCCGACCGCACATACTGGGAACAGTATGTCGAGTTTTGTCGCAGGATGAATATAGCACTTGGAATAATATAGCAGTGCTGTTGTGCTCGAACAGAACTGTTTTGGGGGTGTTGCGGGTGAGGTTGGTCTTGCTTGTAAAAGGTTGTACCATTATATGTCAATCTTGACTGATCTTTTGCAATACGTTTCTATCAATAGTCCGACTGTTCTCCCTGGCAGATGTTGACGACTTTGGGGCCATCAAGCCACATGAACTGTTGAACATCCAAATACATGACGATTGGCAAATGCGTCACTCGACGGCAACGACCGCATCATGCTTTTGTCAGATTGAAGAGAAATACTTCGGTTTGACTAGGGGAAGGTCTGATTCATGTGCTCAAAATTTCTCCCCCCCATTGATTGCCATGATATTCGACTGAGAGTGGCCTGTCAAAAGATTCTTGTCCCGCGCAACACCTTATAAAAGCCTTGCGATACAGATCCCGCAACGCAGAGCTAGGACCGTCAAACCGGGAATACTTTTCTCTTGCCATCGCATAAAATGAAAGAATCCAGTTCGGTTGAGGCTGGAGGTCTGGATGTCCAGGAGACTTTCCCGTTGTTCGAGGGGTTGATTGGCCGGAAAGACATTCGTTGCGCACTCCGCCGACTGGAGACTTACTATAGCTCCCTGGAGGAAGGTATAATGTAAGAGGTTTCACTAGGCGATTCCAGACCAGGTTTCCGGGACTACGAAAGTCTCCGAGCTTATGATAGGTGGTCAACTTTAAGCCCCATTCCGTTCGGATTCTGCCCCTTTCAATGTCAATTTCATAGTCGGTGAAGCAAAAAATGCAAGATCCAACTGCGTTGTCAGGGAAAATATCGAAGGCAGGCTCCGCAACAGATACCCTCAAGCC